GATGGGTTCGATCCGAATGGGTTCGATCGACTCGGATCCGGATGGGTTCGATCCGAATGGGTTCGATCGACTCGGATCCGGATTGGTTCGATCGACTCGGATCCGGATCGATTCCATCCGAATGGGTTCGATCGAACCGGATCCGGATGGGTTCGATCGATCCGGATCCGGATGGGTTCGATCGACTCGGATCCGGATGGGTTCGATCGGCTCGGATCCGGATGGGTTCGATCGATCCGGATCCGGATGGGCTTGGGTCCGAAAGGGTTCATTTGATCCGGATCCGGACGGATTCGATCGATCCGGACCCGGGTGGGTTCGATCCGAATGGGTTCGATCGACTCGGATCCGGATGGGCTCGATAGGGATGGGTTCTATCCGAATGGGTTCGATCGACTCGGATCCGGATGGGTTCGATCGATCCGGATCCGGATGGGTTCAATTGATCCAGATCCGGATGGGTTTGATCCACACGGGTTCGATCGATCCGGATCCGGATCGGCTCGATAAGGATGGGTTCGATCGACTCGGATCCGAATGGGTTCGATCGATCCAGATCCGGATGGGTTCCATCCGAATGGGTTCGATCAAACCCATCCGGGGTCCGATCCGGATGGATTCCATCACTTGGGTTCCGGGGACTTGATTGCCCCAAACGACGGTAACCCAACGTAATCCAGGTCATTGGTCTAGGAATACAGGAGGGAAGGGGTGCTCTACCTCTCCCCAACCCTTGGCACGGGCCATCGGATTGCCCCAAACGACGGTAACCCAACGTAATCCAGGTCATTGGCCTAAGAATACGGGGGGGAAGGGGTGCTCTACCTCTCCCCAACCCTTGGCACAAGCCATCCGATTGCCCCAAACGACGGTAACCCAACGTAATCCAGGTCATTGGCCTAAGAATACGGGGGGGGGGAGGGGTGCTCCACCTCTCCCCAACCCTTGGCATGGGCCATCCGATTGCCCCAAACGACGGTAACCCAACGTAATCCAGGTCATTGGCCTAAGAATACGGGGGGGGGGAGGGGTGCTCCACCTCTCCCCAACCCTTGGCACGGGCCATCGGATTGCCCCAAACGACGGTAACCCAACGTAATCCAGGTCATTGGCCTAAGAATACGGGGGGGGGAGGGGTGCTCCACCTCTCCCCAACCCTTGGCATGGGCCATCCGATTGCCCCAAACGACGGTAACCCAACGTAATCCAGGTCATTGGCCTAAGAACACGGGGGGGGGGGAGGGGTGCTCCACCTCTCCCCAACCCTTGGCATGGGCCATCCGATTGCCCCAAACGATGGTAACCCAACGTAATCGGGGTCATTGGCCTAAGAATATAGGAGGGGAGGGGTGCTCCACCTCTCCCCAACCCTTGGCTCGGGGCATCCGGTTGCCCCAAACGACGGTAAGCCAACGTAATCCAGGTCATTGGCCTAAGAATGCCGGAGGGGAGGGGCTCCTTACCTCTCCCCAACCCCTGGCATGGTGGAACCGATTGCCCCAAACGACGGTAAGCCAACGTAATCGAGGTGGTTTTCCTAAGAATACTGCAGGGGAGGGGTGCTCTACCTCTCCCCGACCCCTGGCATGGGTCATACGGTTGCCCCAAATGACGGTAACCCAACGTAATCCGGGTCATTGGCCTAAGAATACCGGAGGGGAGGGGTGCTCTATCTTTCCCCAACCCTTGGCATGTGGGCATAGATTGCCCCAAACGACGGTAAGCCAACGTAATCCGGGTCACTGGCCTAAGAACAACGGAGGGGAGGAGTGCTCTACCTCTCCCCAACCCTTGCCACGGGGAAATCGATTGCCCCAAACGACGGTAAGCCAACGTAATCCAGGTCATTGGCCTAAGAATACTGGGCGGGAGGGGTGCTCCACCTCTCCCCAACCCCTGGCATCTGGGAATCGATTGCTCCAAACGACGGTAAGCCAGCGTAATCCGGGTGGTTGGCCTAAGAGAATCCGGGGGAAGGGGTGCTCCACCTCTCCCCGAACCTTTGCAAGGGTCACTCGGTTGCGCCAAACGACGGTAAGCCAACGTAATCCAGGTGGTTAGCCTAAGAAGGTTAGGGGGAAGTGGCTTTTCACCTCTTCTCACTAATCTTTGGGTAGGACGGTTGCTTGAAAAGTCGGTAAGCCAAGGTAATCCGAGGCCTTTCCGTAGTAATAATTCGGGGAGAGGAGAACTGGCCCTCAAACCACAAGCAAGGCGGATTACCTAGGTATGAAGTCGAGCTTGTCATGAGGTCCTATGAGGCACCGGCCCGGGCCACGGAGGGCGGCACTCTGTGATCCGGGGGGGAGCGTCCCGTGAGACGTGCGCATGGACTCTCTTCGGAGGGTTGGTGCGCACAGGCCCCAGCGGAGGGGGCGGGGAGCTCTCCAGGTGCGGAGGATCACCTGGGAAAATGGGGAGAGGAGGAACTGGCTCTCGAACCACAAGCAAGGCGGATTACCTAGGTATGAAGTCTAAGCTTGTCATGAGACCCTATGAGGCACCGGCCCGGAACACGGAGGGTGGCACTCTGTGATCCAGGGGGGAGCATCCCGTGAGACGTGCGCATGGACTCTCTTCGGAGGGTTGGTGTGCACAGACCCCAGCGGAGGGGGCGGGGAGCTTTCCAGGTGCGGAGGATCACCTGGAAAAATGGGGAGAGGAGGAACTGGCTCTCGAACCACAAGCAAGGCGGATTATCTAGGTATGAAGTCGAGCTTGTCATGAGGTCCTATGAGGCATCGGCCCGGGCCACAGAGGGCGGCACTCTGTGATCCGGAGGGGAGCGTCCTGTGAGACGTGCGCATGGACTCTCCTCGGAGGGTTGGTGTGCACAGACCCCAGCGGAGGGGGCGGTAAGCTCTCCAGGTGCGGAGGATCGCCTGGTAAAATGGGGAGAGGAGGAACTGGCCCTCGAACCACAAGCAAGGTGGAATACCCAAGGAGGAAGGTTACTCTTTGGGTCCGCTCGGTCCCTACAAACTTCTTGACACTGGTAATATGCGGTCGGTTTCGTATCCCAATCCGCCTATGGCTAGGTGGCCCCCCTCGTTGCGAGGCGGCGTCATTGACCCATGGGTTGGGGAGGGTAGGATTCAGGCTTATTGGAACCAGGGAAAAAGAGGAGAACCCAATCGGATCACTCCTCGCAAGGGGTCTGAACCAACTGGGTGCTCAACCACTGCCATAAAGAAGTTGATGTCGGTGCAACTTGCAAAACTCATATGCAGTGGTTGAGACGGTCGACTCTTTTTCAGGGGGAAAGCTCGAAGCTCACTTGAGGCCAAAAACCTGGAATGAGACCCATGTTGACTGTGGACGATCTCGGTCGGACGCAGGACGATGCACGGGTACCTGAACATGTTAGTAGGTCAAGGACGGTGTGTCCTAGAGTTTTCTTAACGTGGAATGACAATCGGAAGCATGGTGATGCCACGTGGGAGTTAATGCTTTCGTGGTGCATGGGAGAAATCGCCGGACTATTTCAGTTACGGTGGATGTCTCTAGCATCGTGTCTTTCCACTCACGATGAGATGGCTCGACCGCAATGTCGAGTCTGGGTTGGTAGTGCCTCTGGTTTGAGTGTCAGACTTCGGTTTGTCGCACTCGGTAGATGTAACCCAACTCGTATCTTATCGTGGCTGCAATGGGATGGCTCGGTGGCAACGCCGGGTTCTGTGCTGGTTGTTTCTCTGGTTTGAGCGTGAGGCCTCGGTCTGTAGCGCTCGGTAGAGAAACACAGCCCACTCACATCTCGTTGTGGAGGTTGAGGAAGCCCGTCTCCTTAGCCACTCGGATACGTGAAAGGCATCGCTTGCTCAAACTGGAAGCCAGTGTGTGGCATGTTAAAGTCCCGTACCCATAATCTAATAAACGAGCACCACACAAAAAAGGGGAAGGCGCTAAGAGTATGGAAAAAGGGTTGATGTTGCCCTTGGTCATGCCCCTAAAAGACAAGATGGAGCCCAAGTCGGGTACCCTGGGCCTAGCTGGCGGATACTGGGACACTGGTGGAACGGAGTAAAGCAAGCGTTGTCGAGTACCATATCTGAGCCCGATACGTAAGAGGGGCATACCGAACTGAGCCAAACGGCCACTGGGGCCCGAATCCCGGCTATCCAGCTTTATGCGGAGGTGGTTGAATCGGTGCAAGGCAACCAGCCGAAGTAACGAAGGGAGGTATGTCCCACTTGCTGTACGGCCTTGAGAAGGATGTGCTTGCGTCCTAGGTGGCATAAAAACCACCTAGGCACTAGCACGGAGCTCTCTTGGAATTGTCAAGAAATGAGACTGTGATGGGATCGGGTTGGCTTGTCCCGACGATCAGTGTGATGACTCTTCTTGGACGGGCTTGCCCAACCTCGGAGCATCTTGAGGAGCAATGCTGTTTGCTGACGCGTGAGGGGCCACTTCTTAAGCAAACCTACCAGTGCGGTAGGCGATCGGTTCGGTGCATCCTACTTCCTGTATAGTAGGCGGCGGGCACAAACCGGTCAGCGGCAGTGGTCAGAGCCGAGATGGGGAATTGGACCTATAGAGGATGCCCCTCTGGCCCATGAAACCCGGCTTATTACGACAGTGGGTCGATTGGGAAAGGAGCTCGAAAGTCCACCACGGTGTTCGGTGGCGCTCTGGAACCAGCCGATACGCACGTGTCAGACACGGCAATCAACGCAAGGCGATTGCCAAGTCAGCTTGCTCGGATGGATGTTTCGGTGGTCAAGCTTGGCCGGACAAGGGGACGAGCGCTGTGAAGGCGGGGCATGCTGGGGCCCGAATGCCGGATATTTGGGTATGAAGTCGAGCTTGTCATGAGGTCCTATGAGGCACCGGCCCGGGCCACGGAGGGCGGCACTCTGTGATCCGGGGGGGAGCGTCCCGTGAGACGTGCGCATGGACTCTCTTCGGAGGGTTGGTGCGCACAGGCCCCAGCGGAGGGGGCGGGGAGCTCTCCAGGTGCGGAGGATCACCTGGGAAAATGGGGAGAGGAGGAACTGGCT